AACTTGTTTATTTATATACGTATAGCGGATGATTTTTTTTCAAAAAATTAGTATTTATTGATTTTCAGCCCCCAAGTGACTGTGGTTTTAATAGTAAAAAGTTAGAAATAAATTTAGCTGAAAAACTGATACAACAAAACCATAAGTGTTGCAAATTATTTATAAACCTGAATATTTATAAACTCAGCACTTTTCAGAATTGAAGTGAGGTTACTTTGTGATTTGTGTTTTACAGACTGGCTAAATATTAATTAAAAATCCCCCCAAAATAGATCATTTTGAACTTCAGTTGGCTGGAAGATTTACTAAAAAAATGCATACAAGGTGTAGGAGGGAAAAACATTTCAATAAAAATAAAAATATACATACACTGAGAAAAAAATGAACTGATAACACTCTTCCAGAATAAGGACCGTACTTGTAGTAAAGGCCCTCTTTTTGTGCTATATGTACATAAGGGAAAACGACGGCTAAAAATGACACGCACCCCGCATTTGACGTGACATTAGTTGTGTTCACGTTACACAAAGTACGGGCTAAGATTTAAGCTGATTTAGGCTTATCTAGCATATTTGCATTTCGGCTAGACCCAATTGCGTCCACGCACAGGGAGGGCCAGTTGTTAGCACGGGCTAAGGGGTGCCATTAGTCGGTGACCTTTGGTAAGCCGCTATTTACGAACGAAAAATGGATGACACGCGCGAAGTTCTATTTCTGCTCCTGCCATGTTTCGCGAACAAAATTTATTTTGTCTACGATTGGAGCTGCTGTACGCTCTACTACAGTGACCCGATTAGTGTGGAAGCGAGCGCGGAGTAATGACTGGTGGAATATTGTCGTTATACGAACATGGGACAATTTTCACACCCAAAGGTCGCCGCAGAGGGCGCTTAGCCCTGGGCTAAGCGTTCGCGCATACTTCGTTAGCCCGTGCTAAGGTCTAGACCGCGTCTTAAATTTGGATCAGATTTAACCCGTACTTAGCATTCCTTAGCCCGTGCTAAGCGTTCACGCACGTTTTCTAAGCACGGGCTAAGGAATTTGACCTCTTAGCCCGTGCTAAGGAGCTGTGCGTGAACGCAACTATTTTGTTGTTGTTTACTAGTAATTAATTTGACAGGAATCAGTTAAAACAATTCAAAATTAAGAAACAAATACGCAATAAACCAACGATTTTGTATCTCAATAATCGTTCAACGTCGTTGTTGTCGTGTAAAAACTTGTGACTTCCTGGGTTCACGAAATACTAACTCGTAGAAATATTGAAGCCACAAATAGACCGTTTTATCCTCCCTCGAACGGAATCAGGGAAATGTAGCTGCAACAATGACGTCCCAGTAAATTACATAATGCTTTGCCTTCTTAAATTTAATCAAAACCTTTATAAGTTCGCCGATAAATGTTGTTGAAATTATCTGATCCGACCTACCTGAAGTCCTCAAGGTTCCCCGCCAAACATTTGATTCACACTTCGCGGAATTCGCGCATGCGCAGTTAAACACACGGCCATCTTGGTTCACGAAGTTGTGTTTTCGTTACGATAAAACGAAAGGTGGATGAATTCAGAGAAAGCTATCTTGTTTTTCGCGGATTTATTGGTTAATTTTAGACAGAAAGGTAAGAAATATGCGCTAGGTTACAATAAACCAAATATAATGATCCCAATTTTCCTCAGTACTCATATTTCCGTATCTGCATTGCATACTACACTGTGTGTACAGTTTTTGCGTACGAGTTGAAAAATGAACAAATGTAAACATGAATTTTTGGAGCCAATTCTTCATCATTTTTTATATGGCAGCCTGTGATGTTGAGTAATGATATACTACAATACATGCGCACGCATAATACGTGTGTACCCTGTTTTAAATTCGTGTAATAATGCGCTTTAATAACATTAAGTGACTGGAAGGTTTGTAATATGTAAGTTGGACTGTGCCCAGGTTGATATTTTGGTTTGATAAACGGGTGTTTTCGTTCGAACAACAGCGGACGATTGCAATAATATGTATAAATGTTTTTCTTTCATTGGTGTATTTATTGTTAGTTAAAAACAACTTCTTTATTATGTCATATAATATCACGTGGTTTACTTCCTGCTATTCGCCAGTATGCTACACTACACAATTCAGAAAGTTATTGAATGTTTTGTTTTATATAAATGTTTTATAAATTTTAAATGATGGTTGAAAACAACTTGATCAATCACTTAGAGATCAAATACTACCAATATCAGTGATCAATATAGAATTCTACAGTGTTCAGTGTGGCCTTTGACCAATCACAACAACTTTCCCTGTTTTACAATTTAAAACATTCTTTGTCAAACTGTAGTGATGATACTACTTGTACTTATTTGAATTGTATATCTATGAATGATAATTTGAGGAATTCTGAATCAATTTGATGGAATCATTTTTCTCACTAAAATTGACCATAATTAGGAGAAAGACACAGAGACTGGTGTGTACACAGTGGTGTGTATTTGGCTTTATCAAAGCGCTTCTCCAGCTGCTATCTAACTAAAACTTCTTTTTCTTATTTGAGTGCAACATGAGATTCTTCAATCATTGACCAAGTTACCATGAATGCAAATAATAATTATATCTCACAAAATTTGTTTTAAAACACTTGAAATTACAGTGGTTTGTTCGCTGAAATAAATTTGAAAGCTCCAAGTACAGGTAGTACCATTATTTTTTGGAACCGAATCTTAAATTGCATAACACATTTATGTTCAGGAAAGCAAGCAAGTGTAAAAAGAAATGTTAGTTGACCACAGTGGAATTCTATATAGACTGTTATTCATCCACTAAGGCATGTGGTTGGTCAGGTTGTTAGAACTGTTACTTGAAATTTTTAAAACTTTTATGAATTTTTATATAAAACAAATTCACATGTCATCATGAAACATAGTGTATAGTCAAATAGAAAATTGTATTTCCAAAAATGCAATAAAGTTTTTAGCTCTGCTGTTATCAAAGACTGTCAGTCATCCGCCATCAATTCTATTTTAAACTTCCTCTTGAAAACTATTAGCTCAATTGCTTTGATACTTAGGATGCAGGTACATGTACCTTGGGTGGACCTTTGTCAGATTTGTTTATATTTGACGCTGTCTCAACTCTCTCAATTCTCAGTGAATATTTTTGGTAAATAAAGTCTAATTTCGACTTATTGAAAACTACCAGTTTGCTTTAGGACTTAGTATGTAAGTACCATGAGTTGACCTTCATGAGCAATTGCAAAAAACCAAATATACTATCATGATTGTGATATATAGCAAGAACATAGTGGAAACACTAATAACCATGTCAAATAGTTAATATCTCATTGTACAGAACGTTATCAACTTTGTCTTGAAGAAGACGCTCTTACAGTGGAGCTAGTTTGACCATTAGGTGGCTTGTTGTTTATTCAACAAATTTATTGATAAAACTTGTGTGATTTTTATGTTTTTGTCTCCAGAAATTACAATGTGATGCATACAGGGTAAAATGAGTTTCATTAATAAGGAGATAGAGGTTGAGGAAACAAGTGCCAAAACTGAAGGACTTGAAAACAAACAGGACCAGGAACCAGTTGTTAAAAATGCGAATGAACACCTTGATAAAGGACATGATGGTAGTGGTGATGATAAAAGTATTGAGGAAAAAGACAAGGTGAAATTGAAAGAAGATGATGTTAAAGTGAGGGATGAGAAATCTGGCTCTACAACCAGCACATCACCAACAGGAACTGGCAGTCTTAAGATCCAGCAAAGTGGAAAAGGAAAATCAGACTATTATAAGGATAGAAATCGGGCAGCAGGTGGTGGAGACAAAGGCTATAACCAGCATAGAGAAGATCGCAGTAGTAAGAGTGATCGAAGAGACAGTCGAGGAAAGGAATTTGAACATGGTAGCAAAGGGGGATTTACAAAGAAAGTGGAAGATCAGAGGAGGTTTCCTTTCAAAGATAAGACTGCTAGTGCAAAGAGAGATGAGAAAAAAGATAAAGAAAGTGATAGAAGGTACAGTAAGGAATTTTAACTGCTGATGATATTTATGTACCAGTGAAACATGATTGAATCTATATCAGAACCAAACCTGTTTTCAGACACTTCGCTTTTTGAAGAATTAAAAGCGAACACTTCTGTAAACTGAATAGGTTTTCTTTGTGGTTGTGACAGCTCAGGTTTTCTTTAGCAAGGGGGCAATAAGAATAATACATGTAAGTTTGATGATACCGGTACTTGTGGCTTGGAACATTTGCTAAGCATTGCAGGTGCAATTAGAAAATGTAACATTATGCTACCTTCCTAATTTTATTCGGTTTCTGCAGAATTGTCTGATAATTGAGTTGAGTTGTAATTAAAGAAAAATACAAATTATACAATAAGGATTTTGACAACACACCAGAATTTACGTCCTCAAGCATTGTACAGTGAAGGTATTGTCAAAGCTGCAAAATGGACAAATATCGCACTCAGATGTAAATTCTGGTATTTTGTGTGTAACCTTATTTATAAGTACCACTTCATAATTGTGAGAGAGCAATGTGCCCCTGTTATCTAGTTCAGAGAGAACACTGGGTTTCATTTCTACATGTACATTGATTTTAACATGAATAGTTTAATGGCCTGTTTAATATTTGATCTTGATTCAGTATTGTCTTAGATACATTTGTATATCACAAGTTGTAGTAGGACCAGTATTACATACCAACATTTTTGCCTTGTTTCAGAAAGCAAGAACTGAAGGCAAAAGAGAAAGCCAAAGAGGAAATAAAGAAGTCCTCAGAAGAAATTAAGAGACAGAAAGAAGAAAAAGAAAAACTTGAGAAAGAAAGGAAAGCTGAAGAAGAAAGAAAACTTAAAGAAGAAGAAAAACAACGCAAGGAAGAAGAGAAAAAACGAGAAGAGGAAGAAAGGGTTGGTATTCAATACATAAACATGAGATAGTGTCATAATGATAAGCTACATCTAGACATTTATTGTATTTCTACATGTACATCTGTTCAGTGAAAATGATGGAGATGTCATTCTCACAGCATGCTGCCTGAAATTTTCTTGATTTGAGAATTTGTTGGCATTCATGTAGATTTAAGTTAATTTAATGAGAACCCTTATCAACTTATGTATGCTTTCAGAGGGACTGTGGTATCCTAAAAAAATTGGGTGATTAATTTAATGTAGTTAAATCATAAATACTATGATGACACTCATGAATATTAATTAGTGACCAGCACCCAAGTCAGGCTTAGCAGAATCCTGATATTTAATGGCCTTATATGGTCATGTAATCTTATTAAAAATGATTAAATATCATATCTGGAACACTATTGCAGGTAGAGATATACACAGTGTTCTAGTGAAAACATTGCACACTAGATCAGATCAACATGCTTAATGACCTTATTTGGTAATATGACCTGATTAAAAATGCATAATTACCATATCAGGAGCTTTATTTCAAATAGACATTCAACTAATCAATTGTTAATCAATTAAAACTAATCATTTATTTTGCCATCCAGGAACAAATTTACCCCAAAACTCAAACCCAAAATTCTAACCCAGAACTGAATAATCCTAAACTATTGCATTCCTGTCTTGTATAATATTTTCTTGTCTGTATTTCAGCAAAGGCGAGAAGAAGAAGCTGTGAGAATGAGAGAAGAGGAGGAGGTATGTAAAACCTTTACAATAGTCCCACTTGTGTACATGTGATGAACCTGTGTTGCTGCTAGTTTTGTCTGAGTTTCAGTGCTCAAGGTCAAGACCAAGGCCATGATGGGTACAGTTTAAAAGTATTAGACATTAACAATGACAAACTGAAATGGCTACATATTCATATTGTTTATATATAATGTCAGTGACCGGTCACTGGTAGCATAGTGATAACTGGTAGCATAGTGGTTGTCACATCAGATTCATGATAAGTAGACCCAAGTTCAAATCCTACCTTAGGCTGAACATCAAAAAGGTCAACCCCTACCCTAGGTGAGTGTGCCACTGACTCAATGAGAAGGCTAATTCCACTGGCCAAGATTCATTCACTAATGAATGCAACTTTGCATGTCAGGTCAGCAAAATGCTGCTACCATTATGACAGAAGATGGTACTACCCGCTCCTACTGCCATGTAGGAACATACAGGAGTATGAAAGGCTCCTGCTGATTCTCAAATGTATTGACCCTGTCTTTCTTTTGTCTCTTATCATCTGTGTCAGAGGGGGAACATGTACGGGCTAGGCACCTTCTCCATATCCAAAGCCCAGGCAAGCAGCATCTACATGCTGCGTCTCTATCAAGACGAAAAGAGCCATATTAATGTCAGTATGATGCCTGAATCATACAAGTGTGAGCCTGAATTTTACCAGGTAGATGTGAAAACATGACATTTATTGAATAATGTTTCTTTTTTATCATTACAGAAGTTAGCTAGAGAATTAGAAGTAGAAGCGAAGGAAAAGATTGCTGCCAAAATTGAACTTAGAATGAAAAATCTTAATGCTACAGGTATGTTTATTGTTTTCCAACCAAACTGAATATTAATTTACTGTTATTTTTATAACAATCATTTCTGTCACCTAAAAACATGACGGATATCTTATTGCATCATGGTTCAAACCACTAATTAGAACTCCATAGATGACAAAGTTGGTGTTTGGGTGAATTTCTCAAAAAAAGGGTTACAAAGATCAATATATTGTTTAATTTGTTGAAATCATATGTACATGTATGTACCGGTAATAAAATTCTGGTCAGAAAAACGCATGTTTGTCAGCTCAAACTTATACAAAATGGTAATAAACAAAAATGATTTGTTAGGCTTTCTACCTTCAGTATTCTTAGAAAAGCAGCCAGTTTTGAAGTGTCTAATTGAGAGTTGCCCAGATCCACGGGTCACTGGTAATTGTCAATAGACAAAGCTTCACACATGAGTCTAAACAGCGGAAGTTCACCCTCACACATCTCAAAGATGCTCAGTTCAACATGTTCAAACTTTGCACGTACACTATACTTCATGTCACAAATATGCAGCTGCATTCATTTCATGGTTAAAGCATTTTTGCCATTCTAGATTAAAATTTCAGTCAGAAGGATTTAATAAGTCCCTGTTCGGACGAAATCCGAAAACGGAGACTTATAATTCGGTCTGTCCGTCCGTCCGTCCGTCCGGAGTCATGTCTCAGAATCCTTTGGACCAATTCCGTTCATTCTTTGCATGTGCCTAGTACTTTATGTGGGATATATGCACATGTATTGGTTTAGCGATTTGATTCAAAATGGCCGACTGGCAGCCATCTTGTTTTTTAAATATGTCGTATTTTTTACATGTTTTGTCAGTTTTCATTAGTATTTAGTACATAGATTATACATGTTAGGATACATGTCCATGACAATTTCTTTTGCAATTGGATCAAAGATGGCCAACTGGCAGGCATCTTGTTTTGTCTTTTATGTTTGGTATCTTGGACATGCTTTGTCAGTTTTTATTCAAATTTGGCACATACTTTATACATGTTAGGATACATGTCCAGGACAATTTGTTTCAAAATCGGATCAAGGATGGTCGATTGACAGCCATCTGAATTTTTGGCCTTACTACTATATTTCCAAGATTTATGTACCATTTTCATTTGTATTTGGCACATACATCATACATGTCAGTTTGTTTCATAATCAGATCAAAAATGGCTGAATAACGGCTGTTTTTATTTTTGGCCATATTACTATTATCTCTGTCACCCATGTATCATTTTAGTTGATATTTAGCATGTCATTAATGGATACATATACATGTCAATTCAATTTGCAATTTGATCAAATATGGCCAACTGGCGGCCATCTTGTTTGTTTAAAATGTGATAACTTAGACATGCTTTCACTTTTGATCTATGTTTTTCTTTGCTGTCTTAAACCGAAGGGGTCGTCACGCAACACGTGTTCGATTTTGATGTGAATAAATAATCTGGTGTATATGCCACTTGGGACTCAAGTTTCAAGGACACGCACGTGACAACCCCTTCGCTTTAATATGACAAGCACAAAGAGACCTTTCAAAAAATTAACAGGGACTGTGTCATTTTCAATGACTTGTTCAAACTTACCGGTAGTATATACATTGAATCGAATTCAAAATGGCTGACTGGTGGATTAAAGAATTCTGTTTTGGAGCCATAACATAACTGATTGCAATCAAACTTTACTCTTATGCTATACATTATTAACACATATTGACATGCATTCATTTCAAGTTTCGATTCAAAATGACTGACTCATTTCAGTTTTGTTTACAACAGAGGCTGTGCATGTCAATGACTTATTTTCTTAATTGTTTTCTTTCCTACAGCTGGACGTCCTGAAGAGTCATTCTTTGGTAAACTTGACTCAAGTCTCAAGAAGAATACCACCTTTGTTAAAAAACTGGTACGACTTACTTCATACCTTTATAATTGATTATTGTTACTATGATCCACATTGTTCTCCCTAGGTCATTGTTAAAAAATTAGCTATAAGAAGAAAATACTTTTAAATGTAGTACCTGCTTTCATTAGCAAGTGTACCAATTACCCTACTTTTCTAATTTTATATCCTCAGTTTCTACAGAATTATTCTATTAGTTATGATTGATAAACAAAAATTAAAAAAATGCCAGAAGAGAGCTCTCTAAAATTGCAATAGAACAATACGCCCCTGTTATCCTGTTCACTGATTCATTTGATTTACATGTAGTGACACACCAAAGAGTTTGACTGTGTACATATATGCACGGGTACAAGTCTAACAAAAGAACTGCATGAAATATTCACACTACAATTATAGAATGATAATCATTTATGGAAAATACAAGATTATGATTTTAACTTTGTGTTTGATTTCAACAGAGAACTATGACTGAACAACAAAGAGAATCCCTATCTTCAGATTTCGCTGGGTTAAATTTGACAAAGTACATAGGAGAGGCAGTAAGTCCAATAACTCATTGAAAGATAATATGAATGCTAAATCTGGAGCATTATGATTTATTGACATGATTAATTTGCATTTCTCGTTCCTCCGTGAATTTGCATATTCTCGGAATAGTTCAGTTCCCTGCTATATTTAGGTGAAGAGATGCGGCAGCTTTATTTGGGTGCGACTTCTATTAAGGATGCGGCTTTTAATACAGATTTTACGCCGTGTTGTAACAGGGTGGGCTATTACTTGCATCAGCTTCTGAACTGACTAGGTTTTGGCTCATCTAAATTTTCTGGACATTCTTTTCTGATTGGAGCTGCATCGTCTGCAGCACAAGTCGGAATTCAGGACCACTTAATAAAGGCACTCGGTCGGTGGTCATCCAATAGTTATGTGTGATACATTCATGCTTCAGATGTAACTTTGGGCTCTGCAGTTACTGCCCTGGCTGAGCAAATAAAGTAATTAACCTAGGTTTGTGGAAAGTTGATGTAAGGGATGCACTCATTTTGTAGTACAGTAGGCCATGAATTTGTGCTAGTAATTGTACTTTTATATTATATATATTATATATATATTTAAAAAATTACTTGTGCTCATTTATTCCCCAAATTAAATACCATAAAGTGCTTTTACAAA